GGGCGTGTTTTTCTAAGGACCTTATTAGTTTTGTTTAAGGATTTGTTTTAGGGATGTTGAAGTACGAATTTTGTACGTAGTTTTTTATTATCTTCTCTTTTAGATTTTCTCTCTCTATTTAGGATATTCTCTCTCTCTTAAACTCTCTCTTAACATTGTTCTTAATTACATTCATTAAATCCAGATTTCTTTTGGTAACAATTTCTTCTCTTTTAATTTCAGTTATTTTATTTAATTCTTTCATTATATCTTACTTTATTGATTTGATTAGTTTAGATTTAATTATGCTTGAGTAGTTTTATTTCTAGGGTTTATGGGGATCTAATAAATAATATGAAGGGGTAAATTTGTGATTGTTGATTATTAATGCTTGGTTAATTTCCTATTGATTGATTTAATGCTATGCAATTAGGTTTGGCCAGATTTAATTGTATGAGTTTAGCAATATTAATTCGAGATTCGACAGGTGAGAATTGATGTTTAGGCTTAGTTTCAATAGGCGGACTAATTTATAAATGGTTAAGTCGAGATTTGACATATGAGATTTAATACCGGTAAATTAACTCTGTGATTATAATACGTAGCGAAAGCCCTTTATAATCTGATTAATCAATGCTTGATGATTGTTTATTATGATTTGCCCTGGAATATTGTTTATTAGTGAACCTATGCCCTAGGCCTTTTAATATTTAATTTCTCCCAACTTTATTTTCTCTGATCATATTCTTCGCAGTATAGTCTTTAATTACAACAACATTGGTTACCTTGATAATTTAGATTATAATAATTAATTAGGAGTAGAAAGAATTGTTTCCCTTTGGATTCGACCCTACTTCCCTATCTGCATTAGTTAGAGGACTTAGGTAATACTTTTGATTAGGGGATACGACTTTACCCTGTCAAAATTAGGCGCCGTTGCCGGGGAAACGGTTTTATTTTTATTTCTAATTATTTTTAGAGTCTAGATTATTTTTTTTAGTTTTTATTTTTTTTATGAGTTGAAAATATCCATGCTTACGCCACTACAAGAATTATATGATTTTTATGCAGCACCTGAATACTGTCTTTGTCAATATCGTCTTTGTCATGAAAATCTTGAATGCCTTATAATGAGTTTTTGTGCGTGCTCCGGATGATTTTAGAGTCTTTCCATATACATATGATCAAATTCGGAAACGATTAGTTGCTAATTAAAGTTATTGGAAGGCTCTTGATGAAAAAGTCTATGGACACTATAATAATGTGAATGTTATTGAGGATGAAGAACCATCGGTTATAGAATTTATGGTTGAAAAATCATTGGTTGACGAATCGATGATTGAAAAATTATTAGTTGTAGAAACGGTGTTTGAAAATTCCTTTGTTGATGTTGAGGTTATTCGTAAGGGTAAAATTTTCAAGTCATTATTGGATGATAAAGACAATGACTACCTTCATGTTCGTTCTATTAATTCTAGATTTTTAACGGAGGAAGTAGAAGGTTGTGTTGTATTTTCATCTCTCTCTTTTGATTTTTCCTTCTACCTTGAGTTCTCTTTATGTGCTCCTAACCTTTTCTTTGTAAGGATTAATGTGCTTGAAATTAAGCCCTATCTAGTGCCTAATGAAATGTTTGCAGGAGCATTTGATAAATTACTCAAGGCATTGAATTCTTCCGATTGAGAGGAGTATGGTCGAGCGGGACCTTGATAAACTAGCGCTTTATGGGAGGCAACCCGTACTTTAGTTTGCTTTTTAGTTTAGTTTTTTTTCTTATTTTTGTGTGTGTGTGTGTTTTATTTTATTTATTTATTTATTTTTAGAGAGGTAAGAAGAGTGTAACTTATGCTTGTGGGAGTTTTTTTTGTGCAGATTTTGAGCTAGAGAAGACTTCATTCACGCTGGAACTGCACTCGTATTCGATCGGGCAGAGCTCGCCCGATCGGGCACACGTACACGTAAGCAAACTTTGTTAACTTTGACAGGCCATAACTTTTGCGTTTCTCATCTGATTTAGGCGTGTGACCTATCGTTGGAAATGTCTTCAAGTATACTTTCCAATACAATTAAAATCACTGTATTATCAGTTATATATCAAAAGTTATGATCATAATAGTGCACCTGACTTGAATTTGGACTTTTTTCCCACTAACACTTTGTTTCATTCTTGCTCAAATTTGTTCCAAAGAGATGCATTGCAATCCTTGAGGCTTTGGTAACATTGATGTGGTGAAGATGATGAGTAGTCACCTTGACTACTAGCTTCTCATTAAGACAATGAGGACATTGTCTAATTTAGCTTGGGGGGAGGTTCTCGTGTTCACATGGTATCTTTCACTCTCTCATTTTATTTTACTATTTCTTTTTCTTTTGGTGTGTTTAGAATAGTTTTTTTTATTTGCTTTCTTAGGTTAGTTTTATTGCTTTCAAAAATAAAAAAAATCCAAAAATACGTTCCATTGAATTGTAAATCATGCTTCCATGTGTCCCATACTTGGAAAATATTGTTTTGATTCTTGGTATATGATGATAAGCATTGTGGATTTGTTGATCATGATTTGAAGTTTGATTGCTTAGATGTCCTAACATGCGTCAATTTTGCCCAACTACTTGTGAATATGGTGCTTGACTAGTTGATTTGGTTAGGAATGTGTGATAGATCCTAGTATGTCAATGAAGTTGAGTATTGGTTTGCAACTATTAGTAATGTTTATATAGCTCAATATTATGCACATTGAGGAGGACGAAGGCATTTGTTCTCTTAAGTAGCCTTTAGACGATATTAGATATATTTGTTCCCTTCTTGCTACACATGTTGTTGCCTGTGCCCTTTTATTGATTATTTAGCCACATTACAAGCCTATATGAGCCCTATTGGTTACTAGTCCCAAGCTTGGCTTGGGGGAGCTATTAGTTGGTGAGGTGAGGGATTTGTGGTGTGCACTTTATTTGCACAATGTGGGAATAAAAGAAGAGTGATTGTTCTTTTGATATTATGATTGGAAAAATGTTGATGGTTTGTGTTTCAAAGTTGAAAATTTCCAATGTGAAATAAAGAAAAAAAAAGAAGAGCAAAGAAAAAGTTGTTTCATATGTTCAAATGTTCTATTTGAAGGTTGCTCAAGAAGAAAAAAAAAAAAGAAAACAAAAATTCAAAAAAAAAAAAAAGTTCAAGTTTGAAAAAAAAAGAAAGAAAAAGAATAAGTAGTTCAAAGTTTGTTTTAATTCGCTCTATTTCATATTATCATATTTTGTGAGTGAATATGTAAGTGTTGGGATTGTGTTGTGTATATGATTGTTTGGTGAACTTTTGTGGAGTTGAGTTGTGATTGGAGATGTTTTGGTCATCACTTATTGTGACCTTGGGTTTTATTAAGATATGGCTCCCTTAAGCATGGCTTTACTCTCACATTTTCCTAAACTTATCCTACCCTTTACCCTAGCCTTACATTACAAGATTTAAGGACCTTCCGACCTTTGTGCATAAGAGTTGTATGAATGTGAAAGTATTGTTTATCTATGCAAGTTATGATTTGACATATTTCGAGTCGACTAGTAGGTTGAGCGTTCATTGTTTTAAACACACGAGAGTGTGAGTTGAGAGGGCATTGTTCACAAATAAAGGGGTTGGTTGGAGAGCGATCGAGTACATCTTTTACTCGCCACATAAATGAGAGTTGAGTGTGTGAGCCCTAATCTTGAATTCTATATGCTCATGTGGTTTGCTCTACTTGACAATTGTTGGGGATGAAGGATGATTAGATGAATGAGATTGATTGACATTGAATCATGTTCATTAAATTTATCTTGAATCGTTTGTGCTTGATTTTGTTTATTGGGATGAGGCATGTTTTATATGTTCATTGATGAGCTCTTTGCTTAGGGATAAGCAAAGGTTTGGCTTGGGGGAGTTTGATATGTCCAATTTATATAGTGTTTTACCCCCGTCCCATGGTCATAATTAGTAGTGTTTTTGGCTCTTTAGGGCCACTTTTATTACTAATTTGTGTTTTCTAGTGTTTTTGTAGTTTTGCTTGAGTTTTGTAGGAAATTGTACACTTGGAGCGCTTTTCGGGTTTTTCACGAAGCAACTACGAGCGTCAGGAGGACACGACCATCCTTGAAGCCCAGGACCGGTGAGAGCCGGTGATTAAGGGCTCGGTATGTATAACGGGGCAATTGGATCAAGTAATCAAGACCCGATGAGGAAATCCGGATTGGGCCGAGGAATCGGGCCCAATCAAAATCTAAGCCTCGAAGAAGAAGCCAGGCCCGATCGGGCGGGCGCGCGCAAAGCAACCTCAAGGAAGAAGCCGCGTCCGATCGGGTGAGCGTAGGCTCGATCGGGCGCAGCACACCAGCAAGGGCGTAGTAAAAAAGGCGGGCCCGATCGGACGTGTGTTTTTCTAAGGACCTGATTAGTTTCGTTTAAGGATTTGTTTTAGGGATGTTTAAGTACGAATTTTGTACATAATTTTTGATTACCTTCTCTTTTAGATTTTCTCTCTCTACTTAGGATATTCTCTCTCTCTTAAACTCTCTCTCAACATTGTTCTTAATTACATTCATTAAATCCAGATTTCTTTTGGTAACAATTTCTTCTCTTTTAATTTCTGTTATTTTATTTAATTCTTTCATTATGTCTTGCTTTATTGATTTGATTAGTTTAGATTTATTTATGCTTGAGTAGTTTTATTTCTAGGGTTTATGGGGATCTAATAAATAATATGAAGGGGTAAATTTGTGATTGTTGATTATCAATGCTTGGTTAATTTCCTATTGATTGATTTAATGCTATGCTATTAGGTTTGGCCAGATTTAATTGTATGAGTTTAGCAATATTAATTCGAGATTCGATAGATGAGAATTGATGTTTAGGCTTAGTTTCAATAGGCGGACTAATTTATAAATGGTTAAGTCGAGATTCGACAGATGAGATTTAATACCGGTAAATTAATTCTGTGATTATAATACGTAGCAAAAGCCCTTTGTAATCTGATTAATCAATGCTTGATGATTGTTTATTATGATTTGCCCTGGAATATTGTTTATTAGTGAACCTATGCCCTAGGCCTTTTAATATTTAATTTCTCCCAACTTTATTTTCTCTGATCATATTCTTCATAGTATAGTCTTTAATTACAACAACATTGGTTACCTTGATAATTTAGATTATAATAATTAATAAGGAGTAGAAAGACTTGTTTCCCTGTGGATTCGACCCCACTTCCCTATCTGCATTAGTTAGAGGACTTAGGTAATACTTTTGATTAGGGGATACGACTTTACCCTGTCAGAATTCTAGGTTAGGGGAACTTTGTGTGACAAAATTAGTTTATGCTTGTTTCCCTTGGCCTCCTCTTGAGGCAACATATAGGTCCACAAGGTGTTTTGCCGTACGGCAATCTTTAGCCCAATGACCTTGTATTCCGCATTTAAAACACTTTTCTTGTGGCCTTCCTTGGTTTTGAAAATTTCCCCTTCCTCTACCGCCTCTACCTCTACCTCTACCTCTCAGGGTGGGAGTATTGGAAGTATTTTGACGCCAATTTTGACGTCCTCAATCTTTATCCCAATGGCCTTGTATTCCTCATTTAAAACACTTTTCTTGTGGCCTTCCTTAGTTTTGAAAATTTCCCTTTCCTCTACCGCCTCTACCTCTACCTCTACCTCTCAGGGTGGGAGTATTAGAAGTATTTTGACGCCAATTTTGACGTCCTCTACCCCTTCCCCTACCCCTATTGGGGTATTGGCCTCTGCCCTGAAAACATCCTCGTACAATATTGTGATTCCAGCGCTTACCTGTTTTTGTGGCATTTGTTTCTGGTATTGCACTGGTACCTGCTGATCTCTGATTATGATTAGACAGCAGGATTTGAGTGTTTTGTTCTGCGACTTATAGTATAGAAATTATGTCACAAAACCTTTCACAACCCCTCTCTCGGTACTGTTCTTATTGTACCATATTATTTGCGTGCATTGTAGTGAGAGTTTTCTCGATTATGGCTCTTTAAGAGATTGGTTCTCCACATAATCTCAATTGTGAAGTTATGCAGACTACAACAGAGTTATATTCACGTACTGAGCTGAAATCTTAAAGTCTCAAGGTAGTCCATTCATGTTGGGCCCTTGGCACAATTATTCTCTGTAAGTGTTCGAATCTGTCTTGGAGGAAAACCTGAAGTTCTCTAGGATCCTCAATGAGAATATACTCATTTTTAATTTGTCAATATACACCAAAGCTTTAGCTTGTTCTAGAGGAGTAGGGTTTCCCTCTTCGGCGATAGCGTGTTCTAGGCTTTGTGCCCTTAGGTAGGCTTTTGCGTCCACCCGCCATTCCAGGTATCTTCCTCCGGAAATGTCTATAATTTCAAAGTCCCGGTTTGCAATTCGAGCCATTTCTGATTACACGAAAATTTTAGAAATTAGTAAAAGGAAAGTCAAATATTTTTGTATATATAAGGTTTTAAATATTAGAAAATATCACTATGGAATGCAAGCCGTGGTGGTCCGATTACCCAACTTACAAATAAGAGGTTGGGGGTTCGAAACTTGGTAAAAGCATAAACCCTGCAAAATTAATAAAGGCTGCATATTTTTTTTTATTTATTTTTAATTAAACTATAATTATTATAATACTTATTATATCCAAACAATGAACAAGAATAATACTTTAAACATAAATAAAATAAATTTCAAAACCCAAAAAAATAAAACTAAGTTTTAATAAATATACTTATCAAAACATGCCCCATAAGCATGATTATTACTTTTGTTAAAAACAAAAGAAAACCCAATATGTAATATGACCGTTGGCATGCAGCCAACCTCCAACATCTATCAGAACTTGATAATCCCATTACATGCATTTCAAAGTCTTTATTGGTTTTAGTATTTAGTTTTGTCAGGTTTGCATGTACATGCAAAAACCGGGGCTTGTAACATGTATCAGTTGTTTATATCTTGTCTTCTAATATAATTTCCACATGTAAATGAGTATGCATGTAATATATATCTGTAGGGAATATTTCAAGCGTTAATCCCCTAGATTGAACCCCACTGTGATCATACACTAAAGTACGGTGGCGTCCAAAGGGAAAGAAGATAGAGCAAAAGAGTCGCCAACAAGTTTTTTAGGAACTTGTAAACCGTTCACGAGGTGAAGGTTACACCCCTTAACGATCCAGGAGATCGTCAACTCCATAAGGTCTTGAACCAAATAGGGTTCGGGGATGAAGGTACAAATCCAACCTAAAAGAGATTGAACCTGCCCTAATAATAGGCCTCTACTTTATTCAGATCGTATTCATGTGCGCTTTCTGACTAACATGCAATCAATAGGTTTACCCTAAACCTGTTTAATCTATGTTGGTTGAATATTAATGCACAAATAAAACTATTATTGGCGATCACTTGAATTATAATCATAATTAACCCTAAACAAGATTATTAATTATCTTATTAAGAGTGATTACAAGTACAAATTCCCTTTAAACATGCGTAAAAGGTGTGATCAAACAATAACAATAAATATAATCAAGCAACATAATAATAATCATTAAAATAATAACAATCAGAAAAAAAATATAATAATAATCATGCTAAAGCATAATAAAAATAGCAAGATCCTAGGCATGATACTAATAAGATTAATAACAAACCCTAGCATGTCACTAAACAATAAAAATCAAATATTTAACCCTAACATGATACTAACAATCGTAAATATTAGGAAGAACATAAAAGGCATCATAACAATCATACTTAGTATTAAATTTACCCTAGACATGATACTAGGAATCATAATAACAACCTAAGCATGAACTCTATATATATCAAAACATCAATAAAAACCATTAAAGTACTTACTTTGATTCCTCGTACCTCTTTCTAATAACAAAATACACTCGTTAGTAACTTCAAGGAAAATAATAAACAAAACAATTAAATCAAATAATAATTGAAAGAGAGATTTGGGACCAAACCCTCAAAAAATTAAACCTTTCACGTCTAGGGCGAAGGCAATTTCGAATATGGCTAGGTGTATCTAGATCTAATGAATGCGAAATTTTGTACTTGAGAGAAGCTAGTTTAGAAAATAGAGAGAGAATAAGAGAAAGAGAGAACTGGTGATAATTGGTAAGAATAAGAATTGATGAGAATTGATGAAAATTGATGAATGAAAACGGAGTTTTTACGACGTTATTTATAAAGAAAATCAGCCAAAAAGATAAAATATCAAAAATAGAGTTCTGACGTAAAAAACCGATTTGGCGCCAAACGCAGACGTTAGCGCCAGGCGCCAAGTCAAGCGTTAGGCGCCAATCGTAGCGTCAGGCGCTACAGCTGGCGTTTGGCGCTGACTCAGAAATCCATGCATTTTCTTAAAATCAGATAAAAATTGTTGTTCAGGAGGATAAAATCGTATTTTTCCTTAAAAAATGTTCTTTGATTCTAATTAAAACTCTGAACAGTCAACAAAAGTCAATTTATCAATGCTAATTGAATTAGGAATGAAAAGAACCTTCTAAAAGAATCTAAAAGACTAAAACCATTCCTAATTGCATTAGGAATGATAAACCCATATTAGACCCTCCTCTAGATCATTGGGCCGCATATAAGGCTCAAACCGGGGCCAGTTTAGTAAATTGGCCATAAATTCCTCAATATTCATCGGAATTGGGCTTATAATATATCGTTGGAAAGCTCTTTTCAAGCCCTATCCAACTATACTACTATTGGACCCATATCACGGACCAACCAAACTGGATTGACTGTTTTCTTAAAATAAGTTTTCAAAAATAGAGAGAAGAGAAAATAAATTAAAATTATCCGCAACACTAAACTTTCCACACTTTCACTTCATTCGATTATGATTTGACGTGAAAGGTACTCATCACTGGGTTTGATTTTGGGGAGACACAAATGGGTGTCTACAATATCATCTTTATCTCTTAACTGTAAACTTTAAAAGGTAAGTATCATTCATTTTTGCGTCTATAGTCATCCTATTCTTTTTTCTTCCTTTTTACTAATATCCTAATTCTCTTTCTTCTTCCTTCTTAAAGAAATATTCATACAAAATAATTAGGAGAAGAAAATTGCTTATAGTCAAAAATAAATTTGCTTCATAAAATAATAGGCAAAATTAAATTCATGTAATAAACGGAAAATTTGTCTTCATACTTCCGGCCATAAATTGCCTACCATTTTAGGTGTCCTTGTTCTCAAAATAAAACGTAAGCAGACCATCAAGGAGGAATTTTGAGAGTTTGGACCGTCCATATAGGCGACTTAAAATGCAAATCTTGCCCTCCATAAAGGTGGCTAATTTGCTTAAAATGGCCTATTAGTCGCCTTGGCGACGTTTACTACGAGTAGTAGCGGTGGTGGCGGTATCTGTTTCATCTCTTCCTCTCTTATTAGTATTTGGAGGAGGGGTTTGGTTTCGGTTGGTGGTATTGGGGGATTTTCATTGAGGTTAGGAACAACTTGTAGAATCTCGACGGCTTCGGCGACGTTAGTGTTTTGGGCTTGATTTGTACTTCCTCGGGCTGGTTGTATTGTACCACAAGGTATGGCATTATATTGGTGTTCCATTTTTTATTAATGAATGATTTGATAGTTAAATTTAAAATTTGAAAAAGCAAAACTACCTTTGAGTAATTTAAGCAAATTGGTGTTGATAACGTGTTTTACAACAAATGATATCAAAGAGATCAAAAGAAAGCTTTTAGATACTCCGATAATTGTTGTGTATATTTCCTTTAGATTATGCGAGGATTTATAGTACCCTTGCATGAACAGTGTTTACTCGATATGTTAAACACGCAGTGAAATGTCTAATCGAGCATGAGGTTCTGAGCGACGATATTTAATTTGCATGGGAAGCTAAACGGTGATGTTTGGGGTATTCTTAATCCATTCATATTACGCAATACGGTGCGTATTACAACAATTGCAATATTCTTCACTCTACTACTTGCAACTCCATTGTTAAATGTCCAATTATCACAAAATTCTTTCAATGCATCATGAACTAAGATATTATCATAGCATTCACCAAATAATTTAACCCACTTTTGTGTTTCTAAAATTTCTAAAATTTCAGAATACTTACTTGCATTACACCACCCAAGATTGACACAAAACCCGGGTATGAAGCGAGTCGATTCGAGCAAAATTGCGTTTCTAGCCATCAAAGCCATCCCCGTACATGTTTCTCCTAGTTTCGACCACTTATCTCCCTCCACTACCACCATTTCTACCTCCTCAATTTTCCTTTCCTTCGATCCCCTTTTCACCACTACCTCTTTTTGGTGCTCTTTTGGAGGTTGTTTTGAGGTGACTGCCGATTGAGGTGGTTCTACCTCTATTGGTGAATTTTGGGTTGATTTGGGGTTTTGGATCGGTGATATTTCCATGGGGGAAATTTGGGTATTAGAAAAGGCTTCAATATTTGTGAACGAATAAGGTTGGAGTTGGTGGGATATAATTGGTTTGGTTCCATTAGATAATAAGTGACGGTGGGGGCGGTGTTAATTCTTTTGGCAGTAAAAGAATTTAGAAGTTTAGGAGTTTAGAAGTTCAACCTTTTGCTTTCTACTTTAATTTATTAATTAAAGGGTCAATGGGTATTTAACTACAATAAAATAAGATGATAGATTTTTGAAGATCAGATTAAAAGTTGTTAGCTAATTTCGAGAATAAGAGATGAATTCTCCGAAAGGATAATTTTTTTTAAAAAAAAAATATTCAATAACTTATTAGATTTAATTTATATTTATGGATAAAGATCGAGAAAAAAAAAATCCTTTTGACAATTCTTGGAGGAACACGGAACAAAGAAACATAGCTTGTATCTGAATCCAAATAATGTACTTCATGCCAATAATATATGCACGTATATTTCATGCTCAAACAAAATATAGTCAATTAAATTTTTATTATGGACATATGTTTAACACATAAAACATTTGTGCATGAAACATAGTACTATACAAGCATATATGACTTATTACCTTGGGAGTCAAAGTTTGAGCGTTCAACTGAGTTGTATCATTCCGAGCTCCATCCGCAATTTTTTGTGCTTTTCCCTACTCAAAGGCTTGGTCATAATATCAGCAATTCGATTTTCGGTTTCACAAAAATCCAATTTAATCATGCCTTTTTCAACATTGTCTTTTAAAAAGTGATGTCTAATATGAATATGCTTAACTCTAGAGTGATGAACTGGATCCTTTGAAATACAAATGGCACTTGTATTATCACAATAAATAAGAATGCAATTATACTTCATACCATAGTCCCTTAATTGTTGTTTTATCCAAAGGACTTGAGAACAACAAGCTGCAACAGATACGTACTCAGCTTCAGCAATTGATAAGGCCACAATATTTTGTTTCTTAGAGCCCCAAGAAACAAGACATGGCCCGAGGAACTGGACCATTCCCGAAGTACTTTTTCTGTTCACCAAATCTCCAGCATAGTCAGCATCTGCAAAACCTTTCAAGTCAAAAGTATCACTTCTAGGATAGAAGAGACGGAGATTGTCAGTTCCTTTGAGATATCTTAGGATTCTCTTAACTGTAGTGAGGCGAGACTCCTTAGGATTTGATTGAAACCTAGCACATAAGCCAACGCTAAAAGCAATATCAGGCCTACTAGCAGTTAAATAAAGTAGAGATCCGATCATACCTCTATATCTGGTTTGATCTACACTAATTCCTTGTAAATCTTCATCCAATCTTGTGCCAGTACCCATAGGAGTATGGTTAGTTTTTGCTAGATCAAGGTTGTACTTTTTCAGCAGTTCCCTGATATATTTTTGTTGGTGAATTGCAATTCCTCTTTCCGTTTTTTTGATTTGAAGTCTAAGAAAGAAATTGAGTTCTCCTATCATACTCATGTCAAATTCACCACTCATTAAATCAGCAAAATACTTGCACAAGGTTTCGTTAGTTGCTCCAAAAATAATATCATCAACATATATTTGAACAACTAATAAGTCAGTTCCTTCATATTTTAAGAATAAGGTTTTATCAAATTTTCCTCTTTTAAAATCATTTTTGTAGAAGAAACTTAGAGAGCCTTTCATACCAGGCTCTTGGTGCCTGCTTTAGCCCATAAAGAGCTTTATCAAGCTTAAAGACATGATTAGGAAATTTGGGGTTTTCAAAACCAGGAGGTTGTTCCACAAAAACATTTTCTTCAAGAAAGCCATTTAAGAAAGCACATTTGACATCCATTTGATATAATTTAAATCCCATAAATGAAGAAAAAGCAATTAACATTCTAATAGCTTCTAATCTAGCAACAGGAGCAAAAGTTTCTCCAAAGTCAATACCTTCTTGCTGATTATAGCCTAACAAGTCTGGCCTTGTTCCTTACGATTGTTCCATACTCATCCAGCTTGTTTCTGAATACCCACTTGAGCCCTATCACCTTTTTGTTCTTAGGTTTCTCCTCTAGATGGCAGACTTTGTTTCATTAGAACTCATTGAGCTCATCTTGCATAGCAATTATCCAGACAGCATCTTTGAGAGCTTCTTCATGATTTCTTGGCTCAATAATGGAAAGGAAGGCATGAAAGGCACATAAGTTCCTCATCTGTGATCTGGTCTGAGTTCCTCTACCAATATCACTTATTATGAGATCGGTAGGATGAGATCCTTGATATTTGAACGATTTTGGTTGAAATTCTCTTGCTGAAACTCCAATCTGAGGCACTTCTGACTCGATTCTTTTTGCCTCTTCTTCATGGCTAGATTCTTCATTTTCTTGTTCTTCATGAATTTCAGGTTAAGGAACTTCAGCATTTTATTCTAGTTCTTGTACAGGTTCCTCTGGACTTTCTTTGGCTTGCTTGGATGCTTCTTCATCTTCTTCCCTGTTTCTAATCATTCCAATTTCATAATCATTATTTTCTTGTTTCTGCACATTCATAAATATATTAGATTCATCAAAAATCACATGAATGCTTTCTTCGACACACATAGTATTTTTATTATAAACTCTGTAAGCCTTGCTAATAGATGCATAGCCAAGGAACACTACTTCATCACTTCTTTCATCAAATTTTCTGATGTTCCTTTTTCCATTATTATGAACAAAGCATCTGCATCCAAAAGCTCTAAAGTGATAAATATTGGATTTTCTGCCCTTAAACAGTTCATAAGGAGTTTTATTGATGAGTGGTCTCATCATAACTCTATTGATAATATAGCATGCAGTATTGATGGCTTCATCCCAGAAGTTCCTTGGAAGTCCACTAGCTATGAGCATTGTTCTTGCCATGTCTTCTAGGGTCATGTTCTTCCTTTCCACAACCCCATTTTTTGAGGTGTTCTTGGGGCTGAGAAGTTATGATCCATGCCATTCTCGTTGCAGAATTAATCAAATCTTGAATTTTCGAACTCAGTTCCATGATCAAATCGAACGTGGATAATTTGATTTCCACTTGTTTTCTGCACTTTCTTGACGAAGGACACAAATTCATCAAAGGTTTCATCCTTGCTAGACAGAAAAATCACCCAGGTAAATCTAGAAAAACCACCAATTATAACTTGAACATATTTCTTTCCACTTCTACTTTGAACACTCATGGGGCTACACAAATCTATGTGAATAAGTTCCAATGGATTTGTAGTGCTCACCATGTTTTTACTTTTAAAGAATGACCTGACTTGCTTGCCTCTCACACATGCATCACAGATATGTTGTATGAGGAACTTGACTGAGGGAAGCCATATGACCAAGTTCCTCGCTCTAAGTTTATCCATGAGTGATAAACTAGCATGTCCAAAACGCTTATGCCATAATAAAGGATCATCATTAATGGTACTCAGACATTTAAGGCTGTTCCTTGTGACAGAATTGAGATCCACAATATATGTGTTCCCTTTTCTAGTTCCTTTAAGAACAACCCTTCATGTTTTGTCATTAATGATGTTGCATGAATCAGAAGTAAAACTTACAGAGTTTCCTTTATCACAAAATCGTGATATGCTCAGCAAATTGTGCATTAAACCCTCGACCAAAAGTACATTTTCAATTGAATGGGAACTTGACCTTCCTACTTTTCCTTTTGCTGTAAGTTCTCCTTTCTTGTTGTCTCCAAAGGTCACAATTCCTCCAGAATAGGCCTCAAATGAGAGGAATTTTGATTTGCTCCTGTCATATGCTTTGAACAACTGTTGTCGAGGTACCACGTGTTGTTTCCCCTCATTAGGACCTGCAAAAAGAACTTATTGATTAGTTTCAGGAACCCAGGTTTCCTTGGGTTCCTTGGACGTTGAAGCAATGTCAGATTTTCTGAACCAAACTTGCTTAAAATTCTTACTAACAGATTGTTCTTTATTATAACAAGTATCCACTAAGTGACCTGTTTTTCCACAGAAGGAACATACTTTGTAACTAGGCAAATCAACATACTATTTTTGTTTACCTTTATGTTTGTTGTAAAAAAAACCTAAACCTTCAGTTCTTTTGCCTTGAGCATTCTCAATCCACTTAGGTATGGCAAACTGATTTCTTTCCTTACGAATGCTTTTTTCCTTCTCCAACTTAGATTTTTCAAATCTCAGTTCCTCAAGATCTCTCTTGAGTTTTTCAAAATCTTTATTAAATTTTGGCGTTGGATTGGAGGAGGAACTAGCAGATTTGAGATTTTCATTAATCAGCTTGAATTCTGTTACTTCAACATTCAACATAATATTTACATATTTTAATCTTTCAATAATGTCTTTTAACAGACAATTCTTATCAAAGAGATCGAAAAATATACCTTGAACATCAGTACGTTGATTTTCAATCCATGTACCGTGTTCCTTGCAAATTTTAGAGCCCTTTCATATTCACCTAAGAGATTACATGCATATTTCCATTCATTCTCAGTTTCTAAGCATATATCTATAAGAGCAACTTTAGAGAGAGACTTTAAATAAGTGAGATTAAGGAATACCTCTGTTGCAAGCTTATCATTTATGGCTTTGTCATCAGTTTTTGCCATCAAACACAAGTTTGCAATTTCATCTTCTGGTTGTTCCTCTTCATCATCACTCTCATAATCTTCCCAAGCAGCTATCATGGCTTTCCGGATATCGGTTTTAGAGAATGGAGTCTTGTTGCCCTTGCTTTGTTACTTGGCCTTCCTTCCACCTTTCTCAATATCCCAAAGTGGACACTCTCGAATAAAGTGATCTTGAGATCCACATTTGTGACATCGAGAGTCAGCTTTTGAAGTAGAGGTATTTTTGGTGAAGTTCCTTGTTCGATTGTTTTGGTTGAACATCTTCTTGAACCTTCTCACCAACATGGCAGCTTCTTCTTCATCTACCTCTGAATCCTCTTGTTCTCCAGCTTTGAGAGCCAAACCTTTTCCTCTATTCCCTTCACTATTGCTAGTTCCCAAGTGTAACTCATGAGTCATGAGGGAACCATCAAGTTGCTCAATGTTGAACTTTGTGAAGTCTTTAGTTTCCTATAATGCCATCACCTTGGCTCTCCATCTCTCATCTTGAGGAAGGCTTCTCAGAACTTTCCTAA